ACATGAAATCTAAACAATCATGAGGCAGAACATAGCACAATATGATTCAAAATATAAAAGATTTCAAACAACAAGGAAAATGGGAGAGAAAAGCAGGAGCATAGAGTTAATTACATCAAATTTCACAGAAGGAACCAGACTATCAAATTCAAAGAGGAACTATACAGAGGAACAAGACTTTTAAAAAGTTTGCACACATGTGCAAACTGAACACAACTAAAGTCCAAAGCATCATGGAACCAAATGTAATGTTTGTTGTACTGTGATTTAAGTAATTCACAAACAGTTATCTTCGTTTCTGTTTTGTTTTCATATGTAAAGTGTAGTATGGCTACATCATTCTCCACTGATGAGTCTTTAACAGATATTTCAGTAGTTTTGTGTAAACAATCAAAAATGTCTGGAAAATTGCTTTATTTAGAATAACATTTTAATCCAGAGCCAAAAATAAATAAATAAATAAACTCTGGGATTTCAGAACAATAGATAGATTTAATTCCAGTTCAAACATTCAATAAAACCAAATAAGAACTTGTAGTGTCTAAAAAGTAAAACAAAACAAAACAAAAAACAAAAAAACAAAAAGAGAACATTACTTGCTTTAAGCATAAGCTAACTTTGCAAAGAGAAGGGCTTGAATTTCATTCCAAAAAGTTGTAAAAATCATATGGCAATTTAATATAAATTATTGAAGCACTAGTATTTCGGATAAAGCAAAAACATTACAACATACACCAGAACTATAGCATGTTTTACATAAGGCAACATATTAAAGCAAGGTTCAGAAGAAGTAACTCAGTTAGCAGTATCTGAGTCTGTGTCATGCCAGAGATTTTATTGAAACGTTCTTGGAGGAAAATCAGTCTGTCCTATTCACAACTCATCAGATCTACAACAAAAGGTTATACTGCCCTCTACCGGCCGTCCAACCCACACTAACTGAGTCTACCACAGGTTGATCAGGTCTTTTCAAGGGAAACTCTCGCTCACCATCGAGCACGGAGTATTACTTCCATCCTTCTTTACATCATCCACATTTTTGTGCATTTACAGCAATATCACGGTTTACTACTGATAAGAAATAAAAGTGATAAGCAAAGCACTGTATGACTTGACTGTGAAACTTAACATGTGACAGTCTGAAGTTAAATATCAAGTGGTTTAATACTGAAGTCTCCAGAGAGCTAAAACTTTGAGTCTAAAAGCTTTTACTCTGAATTTTATTTTCACTTTTACTTTGAAAGGTTTCTTCCATATGTTCCTGTTGACGATACAGACGTTGAAGTAAAACGTCATTACGTTTTAATCGTTGCTTTGAGCGCGGGAGCTTTGAGGAAATTTGCCGACATCAGGCAGAAAACGTTGCAGGTACTTTCTATGGAAGCTTCCTTTTAGCTCAACACCGACTATTGGTAAGGAGGTTTAGGAACTAGTCCGAACCTGAGCTGTCAATCCACTCTGCGGGCCTGGCAGCAGCTTTAAGAAGAGGAAATAATCAGATATCGAAGGCACCTGGTTTGTGCTAACGCTAGGCTAAACAATTGCATAAGTATTAAAATAATTACGGTGTGGCGGAATAAATACGCTTCAGAATAGTACAAGTTGTGGAGGTACAGTTAAACAGGAACTATCACCTTGTTAATGTGCTCTAAATTGCGTCCAAACACTACACCACAGTAGTGTTTTTACTGTGTACACAGTAAAAAGAACAATAACAATTCTATGATATTTAACAGTCACAACGTATTTTAATCTGACAGAACACCGGCAAGTAAAGAAGTTCTTTAGAAAAGACAAGCTGGGTGTTTTTTCTGAAATCACAAAAAACCGAAGGAGCAGCTGTGTTATAGTACAAAACTGACAGTAACTTGTCTGCGACCCCTGTTGGCCAGGTGTTGTCATGGCGATGAGAGGAGAGACGAGAGTGGAGGTAGAGGCGGAGGAGGAGGAGAACTACGGCCCACAGCCTCTCTCCAGACTGGAGGTAAAGTATCCCGACTGCTCGATGTGCTGATTTAGTTAACACTAGGGCTGGACAGTAAGGCAAAAACAATGCAGTGACAGAGACACGAGGTGAATACCAACAGATAATACATCTGATAGAATATTTGGCATCAACTAACTCTCTCTTTGGTTACCTAGCAACAACCTGTTGACTAACCTTAAGGTTTCTCATGTCTCATAACTGCTTAAAAATAAACGAGATGGAGATAAAATTGGATAAAACAGGAAAGACCATGCCACCAGCCTGACAGTATTTCAGATATTTAAAATCAATAATTATTAATACCTACGGATATGAAACACTTATATTATGATAAGTTATCAGCCATAGTTTAGAGCTTAGTTTGATTTTTTTGGGGGGGTATTAAAAGTTATTAAATGATTTGTCATGTAAGTCACTTTGAACTACTTGGTTGCTGAAATATGCCATACATATAAACTTGTCTTAACTTTGGATTTAATATGACATCAAATACATTTGTCTAAGCAAGCCTGCAGTTTGATGGGTAACATCACAAATAAAAGGAAGGTCAAGTAAATGTCAACAGGAGACATGCTACAAATGTGTCTAAAGTGTTGTCTGTAAATAAATCATTTGTATTTCAGTACTGGTGGGCCTGCACCCTGCTGGATGCTGATGTTGTCTTTTTGCCTGCAGCACTGTGGGATTAGTGCCAGCGACATCAAGAAGCTGGAGGATGCAGGGTTCCACACCATAGAAGCAGTGGCCTATGCACCCAAGAAAGAGCTGCTCAACATCAAGGGCATCAGTGAAGCCAAAGCAGACAAAGTTTTAGTAGGAAATGTCTATCCTTTCATTTACACGAGCTAAAACTGTACTTTTATTTAGCTTAGTTCATTTATAAGCTGAAATCTTCTGTTTTCCATTGTGTGCATTAAAAGAACTCTGATTACTTCATTCTGCCCACTCCAGTGAAATGAAATGAATGGACTTGGGGTTGTGAAATAGTTCCTCACTGAGATGCTGATAAGGATGCACAGAGCTTTTTCCACGTATTAAGTTTAAGAGCATTATTTAGGAATGTATTATAGTCATCAGAGAATTAATGGTTAAGTAATGAAAATGGTGAATTCATGGCTGGTACTTTCTGCACTTCTTTACTTTCTCTCTCACTGGTGTGCTTGGTTCTGTCCCTGGTAGGCAGAAGCAGCCAAACTGGTGCCGATGGGCTTCACTACCGCTACTGAGTTCCACCAAAGGAGAGCAGAGATCATCCAGATCTCCACTGGCTCCAAGGAGCTGGACAAATTACTGCAGGGTGTGGCCCAGTGACTGCCTCTCAGAAGTGACTTCTACACCATTGGGAGGGAAGCTGACCATGCTGAGTCTCTGTTCCTGTGCAGGTGGGATCGAGACGGGCTCCATCACAGAAATGTTTGGAGAGTTTCGGACCGGGAAGACCCAGCTGTGCCACACGCTGGCCGTTACCTGTCAGGTAGCATCCTGTTTGATCAGGAGCTGAACATGGAGATGTGTGAAGAGTTTTGTTCACAGGAGCTGGTTTTCCTTTGTCCATAGCTGCCAATTGATCAGGGAGGTGGAGAAGGGAAAGCAATGTACATCGACACAGAAGGAACCTTCAGACCAGAGAGACTGCTGGCTGTAGCTGACAGGTAAACACATTTATACTTATCTATTTATTTAATGTACTTAAACATGTCAAGTGTTCGAACCCTTCCTGCTTGTCTTTTATTTGCTGAGGTTAGGTATGGGCTAGTGGGTAGCGACGTGTTGGACAACGTGGCCTACGCTCGAGCCTTCAACACAGACCACCAGACTCAGCTGCTGTATCAAGCCTCTGCCATGATGGCTGAGTCCAGGTCAGCAGTGGTCTCAGTTATATCTGAACTATGATCCGCTGCAAAAGTCTGCATCATTAAGACTGACATATTTTGACTTCAGTGACATCATATGCTCACAAAGCATTTCAATTGAACTCCTTAGTATAACTGATATTTTCTCCAGGTATGCCCTGCTTATCGTGGACAGCGCCACCGCGTTGTACAGGACAGACTATTCAGGCAGAGGGGAGCTGTCGGCCAGGCAGGGGCATCTGGGGCGGTTCCTCCGCATGCTGCTCCGGTTAGCAGATGAGGTACGCAGCGCAGCTCTGTGACCCAACCCCATTTTCTGATGTAGTGGATGTGTTGGTTGATCATGCCTATACAGATCAGCCAGGCATCCTAGCAGCTGTTGTAACACAAACAAGTGAGACTTGTCTTTCTTTTTTCCCTCTAGTTTGGAGTTGCCGTGGTAATAACCAACCAAGTGGTGGCACAGGTCGATGGAGCAGCCATGTTTTCAGCAGATCCCAAGAAACCAATTGGTGGCAACATTTTGGCACATGCTTCCACCACGAGGTGTGTTTGACTCTAAATAAGACTGTTTACTCCTCAGCCCCATCTCCAACCATTTCTCCTCTGTCCAGGCTGTACCTGAGGAAGGGCCGAGGAGAAACCAGGATCTGTAAAATCTACGACTCCCCCTGCCTGCCGGAGGCTGAAGCCATGTTTGCAATCAATGCAGATGGCGTTGGAGATGCCAAGGACTGAGCAGCCCTGGGCCAGCAGGGGGCTGTAGTGAGCTTAGGAAGAGCTAGAGTAAAGTGTTCTCATGGTTGGTTGACTGTTCATCACAGTCAGAAAATGTCTACTGCCTGGACATCAGGTCATATTAAATCTAAACATTCTTCAGTTACATGATGAGTATCAGCAACAAGACCTTCATGGAGTACTGACAATGTAACCTGAGAGACCTAAACAAATGACTTCTAATGGACAATATTTGTCTGGAGATTCTGATGAGGCTTGTGTATCTAAGTTTAGCTTAAGAAGGCAGAAATTTTATTTAAAGTGTTTTTGTCCTTAAGCTGTTCTGTCCGTATTCCCTCCATAGCTAAATTTCTGAATTCTTTGAGCAGTGTGTTAGGGGATCCTTTAATAAACTGGCAACTCATTCAGAACCAAGCAGTTTCATTTCATTAAAATTTAATATTGATTCAGATTTACAGGAAATAACATGATCAGTTTTTCACTGAGTGCTAACAAAAAAAAATGTAAGTGCAATGATGTCACTGTGAAAATAAGACAAAAAGAATCCAAAAATGTAAATACTTATGTAACTAAACATTATTACTGCAAAGGTTGAACACTGGAAGAGCCAGAGCATCACCTCTAACAACTGTCCATGATTTATTTTCATTTTAAACTAAATTAGAAGCTCTGATTTTTACTGTATCCTCCTTGATGCTTTGTTATTATTGTATTAGAAATGAGCTCTTCCAGAACAACACCTGTGAAGATGGAACAGAGCTGGAGCAAAAGGAAAACAGGACTTTTCTTCTAGCTTTATGTAAAAATGAGATGCCACCATATAAGGTTTTTTGCTCAGCTTATCTTCTGTTCCCACGATGCAGGTTTTGTTTAGAAAATACCATGTAAATCAATAAATGACTTAAAGTGTGAAAACATGGATTATCGTCTGTCTGAAAGGTCACAGCACCACTGAGGCTGTACAGCCAGGGAGTTTCTCAGCTTTTCTGGCAGCAGCTGCAACTCTTGAGACTTTAACACTCAAAAACCAAGAAACCTGCTGCTGCTCTGAGATCAGCTAATCTGTTACTGAGCCCTTAGTCAGTCATTGGAGGCAAACATGCTGCAGTAGCATCAATGGGTGTAGTGGTCAGGTGAGCCTGCTGCTTCTTAGACTGGCAGTTGGAGTGGGGGAGAGGGGAACAAACTGAAGGGCTGAAAAGTTTGCAATAAAGATAAAATCAATAAATGCAACGCACAGATGTGAAATCAATAAATACAACCCAAGCAAGCAAAAAAATAGACCAGTTACTAGAGAATTTACCACATGTCATAAAATAATAAAAAGGATAGTTTGAGAGACATCTATTAGTGAAGGAAAACATCTGAAAGAGTTCCCAAACTGTCAGTTTGTTTGTTTGTCGGTTAAAAGCTGAAGATGAGCCTCCAGTTCATATGCTTCTTCATCCTGAAGACATGAGATGAAAGTTATGGTTTACATTTTAGTATCACTTAAATAAACACATTTTATTTAACCATTCTTGTAGTAGGATGTCTTTTGAGATTAAATCTGTTTGTTAAGGAGACCTGGCCAAGAGGCATGGGAATATAGGTATGTTCTAATGAAACAAGACTTCTAAATGTATATAATTGCTTTGTATCTGCAAACATTTAGAACTGCAGACAGAAATGTGCATGTGTTCACATGCAGAAGGATCTTACATTGTCTGTGGGCATCTTCAGTGCCAGCCTGGTCCAGTTTGTGGCCTCAGAGATGTTCCCCAGATCCTTGTGACACTAAGCAAAACAGCAGCAGCTTTACAGTTCTCTAATGTCATCATAAAGGCACCTGTGTATACTACTGCATTTGGATTTGATCCAAGCTGTTGAGTTTCAGGGAATTTCTAGTTACCTTGGCGATGTAAAGCCTGACGTTCCTGGAGAATCCTGGCCTGAGCTCCTCCGCCTGCAGGACAACACATGAAGGTCACCATAGAAACAGAGAGAAATAAACACTTCTCTGTTACTGGCAGAGATAAACGTCAAAATGTGACTTTCATTTGTTCCATGTTTACAATGAACTGACTTATTCAATTTAACCAGACAGATCCAGTTGCAAATCAGGAAATAGTCAAAATGGCAACTAATTTTCAGCATATCTAACAAAGTATTTCAGGTAACTGATAGAGGTCTGGTTTTAATCCCACTAAAGTGACTTGAGACAAATGAAGACAGATCTCTAGGATTTATAGTAAACCAGGATTATAATCTAGAAGTTCTCCTTACCACAATTAACAATAAAACATTATTGATATTTGTTGAAAATACACAACTGTGATAGCTATCTCTATCTTGTTTCTTACTGTTCACACAGGGAAATAAACCAGACTAATTTATTGTTATTCAGGATTATTCTTGTTGCTTTAAAAGAAAAATAAAGAAAATCTCAAAATCTTGGCTCAGAAAAAAAATCCATCCCTGGCTCTGAAAGGATGTGACATGTCAGTGGAATTTTCGTTTGTATGATTTTTTTCTTTTCGTTTTCCTCTGGATGTCCTAAAACCTGAAAGAAGTAAAAACAGAAAAGCAGCTAATTGCTGTGGTGGCAAACTGCTATTAGCTATATAGGCCAATAATACTATATTTCTCCAACTTTTATGAGTAAAAAAACCACAAGGTTAACATGTTCATAGATACATATTTAACACCACTATGTGTCCCAAGTGTTCAGATACTGACCATCAGATGTGTTGATCTGCTCAGCTCGAATGTTTTCCACAAAAAGCTAATCAGTTCATTGTTTTAATTTTATCTGGAGCAAATAGAATTAAAAGGCACAACAAGGCTCTCCTAAAATTTGTATAAAAAAAATATTTATTGTGGTCTCCCAATTGCTTCTGAATTAACGATTCTGGACCTCATGGCAAAATGTTTTTACACCACTGCACAAACAGTTGGAGCTCAGAATGAAGAGCAGCTCCAACCTTCAGGAAGTTCTCCAGGGCGTCATGAATGGAGGCGGTTGGGGCGGTCCGGTACAGTGCAGCAGCAGCCTTCTTCTCCAACCAGTCAAATGTGGCAACCTGCAGCCCACCCCCACAAAGGTAAAGGTAATTTTATTTATATAGCACATTTTCAGAAACAAGGCAATACAAAGTGCTTTACAGGATTCAAAAGGAAATACAAACAAAATAACAAACCAAAGGAAAGAGAAAAAGAAGAAAGAGCTAATAATCTTGATCCAAAGTAAATAAACTTGATAATCCTATTCGGGGTTGGTAGGTAAGTATAAATAAGTATCCTCAGGTCGGAAGAATAGGAGTCTATTGAGATTAAATCTACCTTAGCAAGTAGTTGCTAAGGTAGTTTTTCTGGATTCAAACACACACACACGCCCACCCACACATACACACACACACACACACACATCAGAGAGCACACACAGGTTGGTTGGAGGCTTCCATCAGTGTGTGATGGGTCTCACCTCGTAGCACCATCTGCCCAGTAGGTAGTAACACACGGGGTCATCATCACTGAGGGCCAAGGCTCGATCCAGATGCTCCTGGATGGACCAGGCAGAGAAACAACACAGAACTGCTTCAATTAAATTACATCTATATATTAATGGCAAAAACACTACACTTTGAGAAAAGGGTTCTTGTTTGGCAAAAGTCCAGAAAAAATCTCAAAGGCTTCATTTATTAGTTGAACATCAGCTCCCTTCTGTCTGTCTGCAACAACCAACTGCACTGTATGAAAACCAATCCAGAACTGACTGGGGGTTTGAAAGGCCAGCATGCATGCGTGCATGCGCGCGCGCGCACACACACACGCACACACGCACACACGCACACACACACACACACACACACACACACACACACAGAAACCCAAAGACACTGATCCAGGAGTACTTTCTATGTTAAGTAAAAGTTCATGGCAGCTGTGGCTCCTTTACTGGCTTCATCTAGAAGAGACACTGGTGAGCAGAACACATCTGATACGGTTTTATACTCTCCAAGAAGAAAAGAAGGAAACATGACTTTTCTTCTGGCCAGGCAGCACTTAAGTCACCAGCTTGTCTGGGAGACAGACGGAGTTAAACACAGACTGGCCAGCGGATGGTCTCCAGGAGGAGAGCAGGAGTTGCTGTCTGCAGCAGCAGTGTGTGAAACAAGGAGGTTTTCCTGCAGTAAAACTGATTGCCAGCAATAAATCTACAACTCTGACTGTCTGTGGTCTGCATACACATCAGCTGGGACATTATAATAATGAAAAAAAAAAAACTGACCACTGAAGAAAATGGTTATTAACTATGATGTATACTGTTAGTGCAAAATGAAAACTCCAATACATTAAGATCCTGTTATCATCCCTCCTTCAGCCATGGACGGACCAGGAACACTTCGTTTTTGCTTCACAAAAACTAATCATTTTATGAAAAACTAATGGAAATTTTTCAAAAGAGTTCTATCATCAGAGGAATAAAACACTCTGCTGTCTACTAAATCAGTATTTAAACTCATTTTTATATCTGTATGTTAATGTGGTTCAGTGTTGTTAAAGCCCTGTTACAGATGGGTGGGCGGCTGCTGTACCTTCAGGATGTGGCCGCTCTTCAGTTTGCTGTGCATGCTCTCATGCTCTGAGGAAAGTCTGGTCAGCACAGCAAACCTGACAACACGACCACAAGACATCCATGAAGGATGCAAACACTGCGGAGTTAGAAGGACACTGACTGTCTGCTGCTGATGACCTACCACTTATGACTCTCAGCATCCAGGCTGCTGTAGTTCAGAGCCAGCTCCGCCTCCTCCCGACCTGCACACAACAACTGTTAATACAAAAGTCTCTATGATGATGATGATTCTGATCTGTCCAATGAGTCCAACACTGTCTCACTGTCTCTAGCTGATCGGCTTGATGGAATTAGTTTTGAAAAAAGAAGAAAGCAGAGGCAAGCTTCATTTGTCACATGGAGCAGATCAGCTCTGTGTGGATGGACCAGCTCCAGGCTGCAGGGGGCGCTGTCCTGCAGCCTGTTGATGGACCCACAGCAGCAGCAGGGCAGCAGGGTCCTATGGCCCTTAGGACTCATCATGTGGATCAGCACTGATCCACATGTCAAATACTAAAATAATAATAATAAAAAAAAATTAAAAAAGATGTTTTCCTGATCACTACCACAGAATGCGGTCATATCCTGACTGGGAGCAGAAAAACGTGGCACTGGGGTCACCTAGGGTTTCTGTTCTGGTCAGGTCTGGGCAGCTCCATTCCTACAGGCCTAGATCAGGGATGCTCACAGTGCGGTCCGGGGCCATTTGCGGCCCTCTGAAGGATTTTGTGCGGTCCCATGACCTCAGTTTCAGAATGGAGCAAACCTGGCCAGAAAGCTTAAGGTGATTGAAGCAAATGGACATGTTATATCATGTAGGTTAGATGATTTACACATAATTAACATCTTCTTCTTAAAAAAAAAAACATACGAGGTAAAAAATAGATTCCCATTTATTAATAACATTTCTGCTTTCATCTTTTCTTTGAAGTGAACAGACCACAAGCATCAAGCTGCTTTTACTCAAACACAAATCATACATCCCACATTATGAAACCGAGAAACTGTGGACCAGTCTCAAAAGGCAATCATGCAAAATCTTATTTTGTATCCACAATGATTTACAGATCCGTTTTCCACAAAAAGCTAACAATTTTGTTGATTTTTCATTTTTAGTTTTTAGCTGTTTTAATTTGGTATAAAAAATATTTAGTCTGGTCCCCCGAGTGCTTCTGAATGAATGACCCTGCACCTCATGGCAAAACGTTTGTATACCTCTGTGCTCCAGCACACCTGAACCAAATTACTGTTCCCTGCTCAGCATCCAGACGTTCAGCCTGCAGAGGCCTGGGAACAATTCATTCAGCCGGAGCTGGAACCGGCCTGGTACTGAAGCTGGTCTGGAGCAAGAATGTCTGGGTGACTATGTGAGTGTGTCAGTGTCTGCGTGTGTGAGTATGTCAGTGTGTGAGTGTGTGAGTGCTCCCACCTTTTTGAGCGTAGCTGGACTTCTCCTGCTTGTCCTTGGCAGACTCGTACATGTCCTTGTAAGCGCGAGCCAGTCTCCAGAGGAAGTCCCTGCTGTCTCCGTACTGCAGCAGGATGAAGAGACAGTTCAAAACCTCAGATATTATCATGAATACAAATACTTTTTAGTTTACATGAGCAACAGAGAAAACTATTTGACATTTTACAGCCTAATGGATTCAAAACTTTGGGAATTATTTATCTATCAATCTCCCAAAATCTCAGACACACTGAAGGAGCAGATTCAGTCAGCTGAAGCTCCTGTCCACACTGTGAGGACATATTTTGTCCATCATGGACAGACAGCAACTCACCTCTGCTCTGTTGTCCAGCAGCAGCTGAAAGCCGTCTGCTTTTAAAGTAGCGTCTCCAGTGTGAAGGATGTCACTCTGAGCCAAAAGCAGAGCCAGCTCTCCGTGAGGAACTTCTGCCTCCATCCACAGCCTTCCCTCCTCCTCTTCCTCTTCCTCAACTTCCCTCTCCTGTTCCTCTTGGGAGTCTTCTTGGCGGAGGGTGAGGACCGTGGCACAGCTTCTTTCCTCCTCGTCTTCCTCAGAGTCTGGCTCCGGTTCTGGCTCATCTTCATCGCGGTCTGTGTACTCAGACTCAGCGTAGGCCGTGGAGTACCTGAGGCCCAAAACAAGCACTTCATGCTGCACAGCTCCCAACACAGGATTCTCAGAAGACATGACTTTAAAGCTACGTTCAAGACAGGATCCAACAATCCCCCAGTCAGGTTGAGATTAATACTCAATATGTTCTTTATTTATTCATTCTTTACTCATTTAGACACTTTTGGTCTGGGTCAGTGCACCCCCAACGGAGGGGAAAGATGTCATTACTCGTTACAGTACTGAGCTATTTTAAAATAGACTGAAGAGGCTTGAAACACACACACACACATATATATATATGTGTGTTCATCTCAGAGAAGCACCCTGCTGACAGCCTGGTGAGAGGGGACGACATACCCTCCTTCGCTGGTCTCCTCATTGGTGCTGCCCACATCCTGGCTGGCAGTAAAGTAGATAGAACTGGAGCTGGTTGAGTCGGTCCGCTCTCTGTTGACATGGCGACGACGTCGGAGCCTTTGACTGTCCTCCACTCCCTTTCTAAAGGTGTGTGAAAGAAAACAGCAGCCAGAGAAGCCCAGTTTCAGTCTGGAGTACAGGACACACAGCATCACAAGCGCCAAGCGTGGATCAGATCCCAGCTGAAGAAAGTGGGTCATACTGCCAAACAGAACAGCTAGGAGGGGAAGTTGGTGAGTCCACTCACTTGACATCCTGGATGATCTGCAGGGCGATGCCCTGCAGCCCCCCCCGGAGCTCGGCCACCTCAGAGCGCAGCGAGGCCACGCAGCTCAGCACCTGGTCCAGCTGGATCCGGAGCTCCAGCTGCTGCTCTGGGGACAGACCCTGCACCACGGCCTCCACCGCTGCCACGGCCTGCTGCTGGGCCTCCATCTCTGGGGACGGACACACATCCTCTGACTGTCTCTGCACTTTAGACATTTTACTGATGCCTCTAGCATTTTTAATAGGGCTGCACTGATAAGAGTTCTCTGGCCAATCACCAACCTTTGAACAGCCTGACTTGTAAATTCTGGCAGATAGTGATTTTTTTATTTTTGTCTGAAAAGTCAGAGCTAAAGGGGACAGTGGGTGATTTTCAGCTCAGCACCTGCAAACGAGTTTCAGACATTTGCAATTATAAATGAGATCAGTTTCACATGGAATTTATAGGCCAATCGTCGATCCCTCAAAATGACAGAAATCAGGGCTGATTTATCGGTGCAGCTGTAATTTTTTAATTGCCCAAACTAACTCCTGTTTATGCTGCAGCAACATGAACGATTAGCTCAACATTCACTTCTAACACAATGCTGTGAAGGCATGAGTAGAAAAACAATGGAGGAAATCCTATGCTACTACTTACTTGAAAAGGCTGATTTAAATAAATAAATTTATACAAACTGAAAGAATGTTAAGAACTTTAATTAATTTCCTCCAAAAAATAATTGTTTGATAGATCATTGGGGAGGTAATAGATCATGAATATCCTCCAGACAAGAAAAACGTAATTGTTTCATAATACATTTGCAAATGACATAAAATGACAAAATAATAACCTGTGTCGTTCCGACACAAGTTCTGACACAATTTAGGACAAATTAGCTCTCGAAATATTTATTCTAGTTGTCAATATCATACAAAAATGTCTATCAAGAACAAGTCCCTGAACTCAAGGAGTTTAGAAGCAGACATGTCAGCATCTGAACAGCAGGGGGCAGTGTGAAGTTAACCTACCCTGAGCATCCAGGGGCTCCTGGAACAGCGCCGCTCCATCCGCCTGGTCAGGCAGCCTTGCAGCTGACTGGCCTCTAGATTCCAGCCTTTGAGACCTTCTCCTGCTCCGCTCTCTGTAAATTAGAAGCCCAATCAACCCCAAACTGGCTGCAGCTCCGACAGCGAGTCCGAGTAACCCGTTTCTTCCGAGCGAAATGATCATTTCTCTGCATTCGCAGGTCTAGTACCAGCCCTAGCTATTCCTATCGACGGCGGCCCATTATTTTGGCTTTAACAACGTTCAGAGAAATAGAGATCCGACTGCCCGAAACTGGAACCAAACAGCGATAACGGTGACATGTGTTCTCTGCCACCTGACCCGACCTAAGCTCCGTTTAGCAGCTACGCTGGTACCCGGACAGCGTAGCAGCAAGCGGACAGTCACTCCGCATTTTATCCACAATGTAACGACCAGGGTTCAGAAAGCAATTGTTCAAATTTTGGGATTTTCATTTATTTGTCTTCAGGCAAGATGCTCCAACAGTTTGTGGTAGTGCTGCTGAGTACCTCACCAGCTCCTCTATCCAGCGCGGTCGAAATGACTTCCGGTTGTGCTTTCAAAATAAAATAACTTTACATTTAATAGTACAATGCATTTCCTGTGGATTTTAAAATAGAGGCATTGAAATTATAAGTAAACAACACTACAAAGTGCGAGTTTTAGAGGACACAAATGTTGAAGAGCATGTTTTAAGATAAACTTAAGTTAATTAAGATAAGAAACTTATAAGTTTCTTATCTTAAGATAAAGAAACTTATCTTAAGTTTCTTTAAGATAAGAATCTTATCTTAAATGTGCAGAAATTCAGAGAGCAGCCTGTATAACAGACAGGAGGCCTGCATACAGTAGATGACAGGGTAAAATGTTTTTCAGTGATGTTGAAGAGTGAGACATCTCTTGGTGCCTTTTCTAATCACATCAAACCTCCTCCTCCTTGGTCCTAATTGAAGCTGCAACACCAAAAAAAAAAAACTTACTAATTTTACTCAGTGCATTACGGAAGAGCACCACAAACAAAAATGTGCCTCACAAATCAGTGATGTTATGTTTGACAGATATGAAAAATGGGGTGAGAGAAGGGGCAGTCATGGCACCTTTGCCCAGGTTTATTCAATCACAGGCTGGTGTAGAATTTGTTTGGCAAACCGTGAAAGAACTGAACATCTTTTTGTGGGTCTCACCAGTAACTGCAGCTCTGCAACAAAACATTGAAACTGAATATCCTTGAAAATGTCCTCATTTTGGTCTAAAGGATTAAAAATGTATATATGAGCAAAATATTTCTAAAATGCAGTAGGTGATGTAACCAATACAAACTCCTTTAAACACATGTGTGGAATGTTCTGACAGTCATTCAAAAATTATATGTAAGGTGCAAAGACAAGCAAAGGATTTCAAATTTAAATGAGAATGTGAACTGATAGAAACATATCTCAGATAAATGTGATGCCAAAACTGGATGAGCAAGATATCTGAGCTGATTGTTAGCATGTCATCAGTGATATCATTATTTGTTTAGAACCACTAGCACATGTCATGTTTTTCTCATTCTACTCTAAGAAAATGGTGGTGTTTCAATATAATCTTAAAGAGTCGAACACTGGTTCTGTTTATGTACCTCTGGAAAGCATAACAATGTTCACACACATTTTTGGAGTTCCTTTTCAATCCTCAGTATCAATGAAAGCAACATCACACTCTGTTTTTCTTTCTGTTTTGTTTCCACAAAAAGATTAAATGAAATCTGGCCTATAAGGAATGTAAGAGCCGAGATGGTGTTTTTCAGCTGAGCAGGAGGATTGCTGTGGAATCAAACTTACTGAATTTATGTCAAATTATGAATGTATGAAGTTAAGTAAAGGACCAGACCAGATTAATGGAATGAACAATTTATTGTCACATCAGTCAGACCTGACAGGCTGCTGAGAGGATTCAGACGAGAAACACATTTAATCCAGTGATGAACAAGTGAGTTCATCCTTTTTAATATTCTGAGAAATTAAACCACATGTTAAAATCTTTTTTTGTTTGTTTGTTTGTTTTTTTTACACATAATGTAACCCTGCTGGATATGTGTGCAGATAATTTGTTGAAGTTCTGCTTGATTTGAAATAAAAATTCAGTCTTTGGTAGGAATCCTGAACATGTCATTTCTTGACTTGATAATATACTTTACTAAGGTTCTCTAGATATAAGTGAGAAGGAGGATATTATTATTATTACTGTCTTTTTCAGTTGTATACATTTCTGGTTTTATTTTTAATTATGTTAATTTTGGCCCTCCATCCAGGTGACCCTGCACATTTTCTGCAGAATTTAATTCCAGAGTCTGGCTAGATAATTCCAGAATTGATATTTTACCTTCACAAAGAAAGAATTTTGTTAATTCAGGTGCAGGTTTAAGTTTAGCACACACATTTTATCCCCTGGGTGAGAATGTAGTGGCTGTTGGGTGAGAGGCGGGGTACACAGTGGGCAGATCACTAGTCTAGAGACACAAAGGTCTCACATCCACACACACACACACACACACACACATACACACACACACACACACACACACACACACACACACCCACACACACACACACACACACTTTAGAGAAAACATTTAACCCAACAGCCATATTTGTAGACTGTGGGCAGACGTCTGAATACCTAGAGAGAAACCTTACAGGGAAAGCATGGCATCAAAATCATTTGATGAGAACAATTCATAATTATCAGGGATGTTGATATCCAATATTAATATTGCTGTTTAGGGTTAATGACCACTAGTTGTTGACATTAAATATATTTTATATATTTTCCTGAACTTCAATACCGTGAAAAAGATGACCTAACTGCTCACATTGATTCTCTTCTTCAGTTAAACCCCCAGAATAAGATCCACAATCCCCAATCCGGGTCTGGTCCGGGTCCAGGCCGGGGGGCCGGGTCTGGATCTTGGCCCGTCCCTCTGAGACGTCTCTCCTCCCTCTCCGGTTTATAAAACATTGGAGCATCTCGCACTCAGCGGCGGTGCTCGGTTGGAAGATGGCGGAAAGCGCTCAGATCCGCTCCAACTGGTCGTAACCGGTGGAGGACAGGACCTATGTGTGTTGTCGGTTCCCTGAAGCAACAGGTTGTGGTTCAGCCCAGAAACAGAAGCCTGGAGATGAAGCAGGACTTCAGCGGTTGAGGAGCTGAACATGAGCCGCCACGCAGGTACGGACGCCTGGGAAACAGGTGCTTTGTATCCGGACACACCGAGGCCCTGACACGGTCCACAGCTTGGTCGTGGGTTGTCTTCTCCCCCCCTCCGGTCGGGAGTTGTTTGCAGTCTGTGGAATGTGCTGCGCCGGTTTCTCTGCTGCTCATAGAACAGGAACTGCAGGAAAGTCTGGTCGGGTCGGGCGTGTTTCCAGTAGAAATCCTAACTTTGGGCCAAACTTTGCAGGCATTCAGACGCCGGTGCAGGACCGCGGCTCCTCTCCGCTGCTGCCCTCAGACCATGTGCTGGGTTCTGGAGCTGTCTGGTTCCCTGGTATTTATGCTTTTCATAGTTTTTTCTGTACTTTGCTGTTTACATATAGTAATCAGAATATGGTTTATATAAGCTGATTCTGCAAGTGTTTGTGAAGACTGAGTTGAAATAAAACCTACAGTGACAGTGTTAACTCTTTGCTGATTCTCTGCTCTGTTCAGGTGTGTTTGACCAGCATGGCTGCCCTCTCATCATATTCCCAGCGGATGGTCAGGACAGGCTTTTGGAGCTCAGCAAAGCAGAAGTTGTGGACTTCATCCATTACTTCCATGCCTTGCTCAAGTATGTTGTGTTCAGACTAAACCATGGTGACCGTGGGATTGTGCAGACTGAGTGGTCATAATGGAACAACAGTTTCTGTTTTTTGTCTGCAGTAAGAAGCAGGAGAAGCAGAGTCTAGTGTCTGTGGTTGCTGATCTGAGGCAGGCGGCACCACCAACCACCAGGTTCATCACAGAGACTCTGCTCCTCTTGGAGGTACGTGTTGTCAGTGTGGACCCTGTCTGGGTCTCCACTGGTGTCAGAACATGCTTCTCTGCACAATATATTTTTGTAAATGTTCAACCTCTTAATTTTTCATGCTCTTAATCTACAGATGATCATCTCAGTGTTTCTCTTTAAGCTCTCAGATCGACACCGTAGTCATGCCTAGTGTCGACACTCGTGCTTTCAGAGGTTGTTTCATTTTAAGATGCCCAAAAATGTGAAGACTTTAGAACTTTATTTTAAAAGCAGATCTGAGGGATCATGCTTTAGGAATAAACGATAACAGCAAAAATGTCAGTAAACAGTACAGTTGGGGTTTAGTTAGTGAAACTTGATGTAGACATTTATATGCTTTTGGCAAACTAGGCAATTTGTTGCCAGATCTTGTTCCAGGCAGTGTTCTGTAAAGTGTAACATTGTATTTAACTGGAAAAAAGTGAGTCAATATAGCTTTCCTTTGGTCAAGGTTTTGAAAAACACTCAATTAAATTAAGTTCAGTGAGTTTTTGGGTGTAAAATGATTTCCAAAGTTGACTTTAATCAAACTAAGTGGATTTAACTTTTTAAAAATCTTGTATAGTTATACTAAGCCCTTGATTTAAATATGTTGAGGGCCTTTTGAGGTAAAAATTGACTTAATTTACAGTGCAGGGTAGAGTGTGTGACCTAGAGTTATAAAGATCTTTGCTTGTGAAAGTCATGCAGTGCGTTTCTCAGATCTAGTCTGTTTTCTGAACTCTGAAGATGGTTGCACACCTCAGTGAGGAGCTCTGCTGCTACGAGGAGGGAAGTCTGCATCACCAGATTGGCAATGTAACAATGTTCTGCATTAACCACAATCTCCCTGCTTTGGCAAATCACCAACATATTCTAATCCTTCATGTTCTAGTCCAGTGTTTCCCAACCCTGGTCCTCAAGGCTCACTGCCCTGCATGTTTTAGGTAGTTCCTTGCTTCAGTCCAGCTGATTTCAATCGATGACTGATTAACAGGCATTTGCTGAACTGCAATTAGTTGAATTAGGCACATTAAAGCAGGGAAACCTCTAAAACATGTAGGACAGTGTGCCTTGAGGACCAGGGTTGGGAAACACCGTCTCATCAGACCGTCCACTAACTTTCAGACTGTAGAACCCAACCTGTCTCCTGCATGTAAATACTTAGGTTTTCGGGGCCATTCTAACATGTCTGCTGGCGATGTTGCAGCGTTCCTCTGGAAGTCTCCCTGATGAGACCTTTTCATCCTATTTTAAGACGCGATCCAGTTGATACATCATGTGATAGTTATAGTAGGACATTTGACTGTAATCATTTATATTTGTTTTATGTGCAACAGGTTTAACATTTAAATCTCATGAAGCCCATGAACACATCTCATTGTTCTGGGACGGTAGAGAGGCTCCTCTCAATTTACTGCAGGTTTAAAGCTTACATTGTGTTTTCAACACCTAAGCAATTTCCTATCTATATGATTTTAGCGGTCTGTCAGTAAAGGTAGTTGAATTCAAAGATGACATTATTGCTCAGTGCTACAAAGCTTGTGAGACTGAGGGATGGTTTCAGGATCAAGATGTTTTTTTTTTTTTTTTTGTTTTTTTTTTTTTGTTCAGTTCACATGATTAGCATCATGTGGCATCTTCAGACCTCTGAGCCTCCATCTGAACTGCTCCTGCTTAAAAAAGCCATATTCATTCAAAGCCCTGCTGTAAGCAACAGTTTCACATGGTAAGCTGCTAAAGGAACTTTGTTATTGTGTTAAGGGGAGGTTTCTAATGTGAAGACGATTAGATAAAACCTATATAGGTTTAGACCAGAGCAAGAACAAAATAGAAATATGGATTGAGAAAATGGGGAGGATGTTGCTGAGCCAGTTACTACAGTAGTAACTGGCTTTTATTGTTTACTGAAACAATAAAAGTTGTTTCAGTAACAAAACAACTTCTATCGGCAGAAAGACAACTGGTGATTGCTTTTCTTAAAACATACAACCAAGAAAAACGATCGACTCCTTATGTAGAGATGGAGAACCTACGTAAACAGAAGGTGCTTTTCACACTGCCTCCATAATGGATTTTTTTTTCTTATATTTATGATGCATTGATGATGTTTAGGACAAAGATTTTATTTATTCACACTTTAGTTTTAATTTATAGTTTTAAGAACATACAGCAGAACAAACATCTATTGTAATCTGAGAACAAAAAATAACAGTATTTCTGAACATACTAAAACTCTGAATATAACTTATCTATATAAATTAACAATTAATACTTTACTGAAAGACAAGTGAGGCTAAGAAAATCAGGTTTGGAAAAAGTCCGTAGAATCCCAGCACATCAGCACAGAGTTCTGTTAAAATATTCTCTATTGCCTACTTTCTGGGAGAGGTAGGCAGAAGAGGGTCTTTAGCTGCTAAGTCTTTCATTGTGAACTAAGCAAGATGGGTGGCATCAACTAATTCACTCTCCAACTAACTGAAACTTACTTAAAATCCTGAGTAAGTTTCAGGTTTTGCCACCATGCCTCATTAACTGCTTCAAAATAAAATAAAAATAATGGTGTGGAGTGAAAACTGTGATTAAAACAGGTCATGCCATCGGTTTTGCTGTATTCAGATATTTTAAGCAAAAACGAATCAATAATTACCAATATCAACAATTATCTATCGACTGATATGAAATGCGGATATCGGGATAACTTTTTCAGCCATATTGTCCAGCTCTGTTTTAACCCAATTACCAACGTTTGACCCTGATGTTTGTAATGTAGCAACTCGATGAAGCTTACCTGAAATTGCGTGTGCTGTAAGCAACCTTAATGTGGAGTAAGATCACAACTTTTTTGCCAGCACTAAAACGTCTTAAACATTCCCCGTGATCCAACTTTATTGCTTAATATTTGGAAGCGTGGCCAACATGGACTGAACAACTTCGATCACTTCCTCTGCTGTCACTGCTAAACTACAGATCAGAATTCTAAAATGACACAGAACGCTGACATTAGTCGTTCAGAAGTACATAAATTGTTAAACCTCCTGGGAAGTTTGTCAGGCATTAAGAAATGGCTGACAATTTCCTTTATTTAAACTCTAAAGTGCTTGAATATTGTGCCTGAAAACAAACCAGACAAATATGTCCATTTAGATTCAGTTGTCCAGATTAGTCTGAGGAACTTCTGTGTTTGGTCAGTTCATGTCTTAGCAGTCACAAAAACAGATGCACATCAGTCTGACTTTTGCTTGAGAAATATTTCAATATTAAGCAGGCTGTATTTCCTTTTTTTTTTTAAATGGCTATTAAATGTCAATTATGGCACTGTTCCAATTTCATTGTAGGCTAAAGAACATTCTGTGAAATCTGTTAGAAAATTGACTTTGCCCTAAAAGCTACATAGTGTTCAAGCAGAGTGGATGCTACCCCATTAGGAGACTTTGCTGATGTGAGACAGCTTTGTTATGGAGCAGTTGCCTGTGCCTGAGTTATGCATGAACATTTTTTTTTTTTTTGCACAGTGACTTGAACAACTTGGACTGCTTTAAAGGAGTGGATTTTCTTGCAGCCTGAAGTTGTACATTCAGTAATTAATTCAAACAGTTTGAGCTGCTTTACTCTGGGTGGATCATGTCTACGTTAGTCCATTATGAAATTCTTGTGGTTGGGGGTTGAAGGATCACATGCTTGGTTATCTCATCAAAATGCCTTGGTGGAATTACTTGAAATGAGTATGATTAAGTGGGAGGTGCAAATATTTTTCCATAAGCGAAAAGCTGCTTTGGACAAATTTCAGGCCTAATGGCAGCTTTTTAAAGCTCTGCATTGACATCGTTTGTAGTGTTAACTTGGGCAATCAAAACAATTTGATATAAAACTTGGGCTAGAAAACGATTTATTCAAAGATTCCGAGAATATTTGAGATTGGACCGAGTTTGTCGTGTGATGTATGGGGAGTTACATGAAGTGATAAACGCCTCGCAACCAGCTCGTAGTCAGCAGGCGTACAGTCACATGAAAGTCGAACCTGTTTGAAATTCTGGCCGCCTGTCGTGCTGGACTCGCTCTGGAGCAGCGCCATGAGCCAGATACCTGAACCCGTCACTCTGCATGCACCAGTGTGTCTCCTCACTTCTGGCTTTACCTCCTTCTTTGCAGTTCTGGATTCAAGAGTCCAATGTGTTGTGTGCGCCACGGCCTGTCGGGTCGTAGTCTGTGAATTATTGAACCCTGCCATGGAGGTGTGCAGTTTGAGATTAATCTGAAACTACTAAAAATATTGTGCAGTGCATGTCCAGCTTTAGTTGTTACTGACAGGAAGGTAAGAGGGCTGGGCAAAATCAACCTGGTAGTAAAACGAAATGAAACTCTATCATTTTGTTGTGAAACCTTGATTCAACTTTTTCAGCGACTTGTCTAATGTAGTGGAAGCAAAATCTGATGTCTGAAACACAAGGTTTGACTTTCATGGTTCAGTGACGTAAATTCTAAAAGATGCTTCTAATTTATGGATCTTCCTCTTCCAAGGAACACAAGCGAACTGTCCACAGTGTTTACATCATTCAGCCCAAAAGGAAGGATGTAGCAAAGCTCTTGCTAAAGCTCCTGGTCGGGTCAAAGTCCTGCAATGCGTCTTTCAGGGTATGTACAGCGCATCCTGCTGAGGGAAGAGCTGCATTTAGTTTTGATATCTAACACTGCTCTGTCTTTGTCAGAATATCCTCCTGAAAGAAATCCCAGAGCTGTGGAACTCCATCGACCGGAGCCAGCTGCCAGCTTCTCTGGGGGGTTACTTTCTGTACTGCCACCATAGCTGGGTTAGCTTTATGAAGGTAACAATGAGCCGCTGAAAGGACGAAGCCAGTGACACGAGAACTCTTCCAATGCCTCATGGTAGAGCTAGTGAAACTTGGACTACTTAATCATTTTGTCTTTCCATACTGGCTTTTCACATCGATGTTTGACAACAATTGCATAACAATAGAAAAACCTATACAGTGGCTTGCAAAAGTATTCATACCCCTTGAAGTTTTCCAGAATTGTTCTTAAATCAGTTTGGCGATGAAGAGCATTCTGTGTTTAACTTCAAGGTTTTTATTGGTGCATATATTTCCTTGATGTGTCAGTGTGTGGAGTGATGGTTACCATGGTGAAGCTTGTTCAGAGACTGTTCATTAACAAGTGAAAGGAGCTGGCCTCAGGCCTGCATTCAGGTTGCTTATTGCCACTGAATAAATCTGAGCTAGCTGATTGGTTACCTGTAAACCCATCAGGTTTTGACTTGTAAGCTTAGAAGTATGAAGAACAGTGTTGTGGTAGGAACTTTGTTTTTACTATGAATCTGTGATTTTTCCAGCCATGGTGTTACCATGGTGACGTGTTCCTGTGCTGGTTGGTCCCTACAGGAGATTGATGGCTTCGTTCAGGAGTTCCTGTCAGTGGTGCAGCGTTTGCCGTCATGCATCTCCACGCTGCAGGCTCTGTCCAGGCTGCCGCTGCCCTCCAGCCTCAGCCAGCTCCAGCACTTCTGCAGCACAAATGAAGCAACGTTCCTGCAGCTTAGGAGGTCAGGCTCTTTCCTTATACTGTCAGGTCACAGAAAGGGGACTCTTTGAGATCATTTGGATCATTTTCTTTAAACATTGCAACTAAATTTGTTAGGATTTTTTTTCTTGTTTAAACAAGATGAGTCAAATGGCCCACTTCCTTCACAAAAAAATTTTTTATGGAGTAATCCTCTGTCTTCAATTCAGTGAAAAAAAAAAAAGTCAACCATATTGACTTAGTTTTATGACAGCAGGACATGACGGTCCAACTGAGACTTTTTTTTTCTTCTCCCAAAGTTGGAAAATGACAGTCACAATTCTTTACTGTAACTTTGTTACAGGAAGGAATTGTAACACAAAGTTACAGGTCAGGGTTAGTTAAAACCTTCAGGGTTTAACTAAATTGCTGCAGAGTTGTCCAAATTTCAAGGACTCAAAGAAGCTTACTCTCACACCAAAATAAATTGCCAACCAATTTCCACAAAAACGTAAAGTTAAAAAAACTCACAGTATTTTCTTATACAGATCCTGACTCCTTTGGTTTATCTTTACCCAGGCTGAAGTCTTTGGAATCGTTTTGGTCTCCTGTGAGCTGAAGCTACTTTGCTCTGTATTGATGTCAACAAGGAAAAATCTGAAAGGATTTATCCTGTTTTTTTTGTGTGTGTGTGTGTGTGTGAAAATGTTTTAAAGAATGAAGCCAGCATAAGTGATACTAATACTGGCAGGATACTGTAAATGGTTTTAAAATACTCTGGTCCTCTAGGCACACTGACCTGCATGCTTTAGATGTTCCCCTGTTTCAACACACCCCATTCAGCAAAACCCTGTTAATCAGCCATCAATTGAAATCATGTGTGCTGAAGCAGGGGAACATCTAAAACATGCAGGTCAGTGTGCCTTGAGGACCAGGGTTGGGTAAACACTGGTCTAGGACATGTTAATAGCTGGTTGGGTGAACCAGGTCCCACTGAAGATCTTCAGCATCTGCCAAAAACTAACTTGGTGTTGGTGACTAGCTAATAGGAGCTGGGACAGAGGAGTGGTCAGGTTTACCTCTGCAGGAGGATAAAAATGTCTCTGAAACCTTTTGTACCTAAAGTCCAAATGGTGGGGAGAATGGGAGTGTCTGAGACCCTGTCAAATGGACAATGCAAACACCTAGTCTTTAAATGTGTGGTCATCATTTACTGATTTCAATAAAAAAAAAATTGAAAATGCTGCCAATAGCTTTGATGGTTTTAATCAAGAACTAAAAGAATCAATCTATGACCAATGTTAAGCTGAACTTTTTTTTAGCAAACTGGTTTCAGAGTTGCACCAGTTAGCCAGCTGGAGCCACTAGAGGGCTGCAGTGATGTTTCACAGAACAGATCAAACATTCAATGTCATTTTATTATCTGGTCATAATGTTTGAAATCTGACTTCAGTCACTCCTCCCTCTGGAGCAGCTGTTACTAACTGAGCTGCTGCTTGTGTGTGCAGGGAGCTGGGCCTGGACGAGCTGCTGAAGCATTGTGAGGCTGTGTGTGAGAAGCTGCGCCACCCTGACAGAGAGCCATGCTACCAGGCCATGGCTGGCACCCCCTTCTTTACTCAGACAGCCTTTGACATGCTGCAGAACCACAGCAGGTACACTGGTTCAGAGTTGTCCACAGATTGAACTGTTCATGTTCCTAGTTCTCCAGTTGGATGACTGCTTCTGTGTTTTCTTCAGAATCACTGCAGCTGTGGAGAAAGTGGAGCTGCTGTGGCAGCAGGCCTTTGCTAAGGCCCATCTGCAGCTGCAGGTGTTGCAGCTGAGCAGCAACGCTCTGCAGGTGGGTCTGCCTGTTCAACAGTCTGCTGGCTTTGCTTTCAGAAATGAGCGTTGGTATCCTGTGGTGGTAAAGGTTCATGAGAGCTCTAAAGGCAGAGGCAGTTTCTGGGATAAGGAGTGGATGTCCAGCAGCAGCATCACTTTTGGTTACTGCAGCTCACTTTGGGGAAGACAACTGCTCTTCATCACTATTATGAAGTGATTAAGGGCTAAGTGAATATTGCATCATCTTTGAATTTGAAGATATGAAAACAAAGGATCAAATTTGATCTGTTTGAAAGATTGTTTCTCATCAGGACATTTGTGTTTTAACGGCCTTTAACTCATCAGTGTTCAGTCAGTGGTTTAAGTCAGCAGCTCTGCCATCTGTCTCTATGAAGGACCGGACTGTGCTTTGCAGCAGACGTCATGTTGTGCTAATATAAAACTGAACTCGGGGTCAAATGTTCAAGAACACCAACATTTATATTTTCTGCAAACGTGAAGACTAATTCTGGCTTCTAAAGAGAATTTTTTTTTTCAGTGTGACATTATGCTCTGCTGCACAGGATGATGGTAACCATGGTGAATGTGTTTTACAGATTGTTGTGAAGATGGAATCTCTTCAAGAGAAGCTTCAGCCGTACAGAATGGAGATGGCTAAGGATTCTACAACCGCAGCTTTGCTGCTGTCTGAATTTGAAACATCCATTTCCACTCCAGCTATGGTACAGAGCTCTGTCACTTCCTGCTGCCCCAGCAGCACTGGTTCTGTGTGTCTGAGGATCATGATGTCCCTCTCCCCTCCCAGGCTCTGATTCGCTGTGCTGAAGATGTGATCCACACGTTGGAGGAGATCTCTCCGGTGAAGTCGTGGCATGAGGAGAGCTGGGCTCTGGAGCTGGAGAGGCAGAAGGAGAACCTTCACTCTGCTGTCCAGGTTGTCCTCCAGACCCTCAGGGCTGTGTCCAGCTGCCATCACTACTACAACAAGGCAGGTTGCCATCATGCAAAGAGATGGGGTTATAAAGTGTGTGTGTGTGTGTGTGTGATTTACAGTATTCACAACCTCTTAGACTAAACAGTTGTCTGAGTATCTGCTGCTGTCGAGTCATAAGGTATAGATTATGAAACTTGTTTTGAAGGAGCTAGTTCTCATCTGATAATGAATGAGTTGTTATTATTTAGGCTGACAGGTGGTACAGGCTGGTCCTCAGTGACCGCTTTCTCCCAGAGCTCCTCTCAGGAGTTCATGAAGAGCAACAGAGCAACAGTTTGAGGACAATCCCTGCATGGAGGCAAAGACTTTCCACGTTCCTGAGGAAGAATCCTCCTCCAGAAATGGAGGAACTGCTTCACCTGTCCCGTTTGTCCACTTCCATCCCAGATAATGAGGTGCAACAGGCGAGCAGACGCCTTTCCCAGAGGTAAACGTCACCATTACACTAATTTTTAAAGTGCAATCAGTAATACTTTTATAACAAATTTATATCTGTAATGATTTCTTGGTTAATGTCAAGTTGTCATAACAAAGACATTTTGAATAATGTCAACTTTGTATTAAAAGTGTCAAAATTTACCGAATGACGCTTTATGACAACAGTCATAAATATTCATGAAGGCTTATTCATGTTCATGACAGGTGTTATGTCATGTTTATGTCAGTGTCATGACAGTCTTATTCACCCCCCTTCAAATAAAGTGCTAGAAAACGGAAATTATAATTACCAGAAAAATACTTATAAAAGCAGGTTCTTACTGTTGCCGTTGGCATCTTGGTGAATTTGTACTTGCATAGAAACAAATGAGTTTTTTTTAATTATGAATCAGTATTTTCTAGATTTACTGAAGGGTTTAATTTATTTAATATTTGTGAAGAAAACACTGAGACATCTTTAAGTTCAATTAGTGGTTGTTGAAACAAATCTCGTCCCCGCCCACCTCCTACTCAGCTCCTTCAGACTAGCAGCAGCAATTAGCAAACACCTTGTGGAATTGTGCATCTGCTAAGCTCAGTATAGGAGCTACTTCTCAGAGCAACATTGGTAGAAATGTTATTAAAAGGTTAATAGAGCAGCCATGTTGGAATGACATGAAGGTGGAGTTTCAGAAAGAGCAGTTTTTTAAGAAACGGATCAAATATGAAGGGGTCAAGTTCAATGTCCATTTATTTTTAAGTTTTATTTATTTTTTTAATAACTGAATCGCATTATAACCTGATTAATAACTTTAACTTTAACAACTGAGGGTAGCATAGTGGTGTCATCTGCAAATGTCAGGAGTCTGAAGGGTATTTGCTGCTGCTGCTTCAGTCAGGGCTTGTGATACTTGAACATAAGTGAAATCTGCTGTCGGATGATGCATTTGTTGAAGTCCCAGTGACTTCAACAAATGTCACAGTGAGAAACGGTGTTCTGTTTCTTAGTTGTTTTCCTGGACCATTCCTCAGCTGTTTCTCTCTTTCAAATGTCAGGTGCATGATTCTGAGGACGCTCCTGATGTCCTCTGGACCAGTATCAGTGGAGCAGCTTCAGCTCGCCCTCCAGTGGCAATATGAGATGCTGCATGGAAATCTGAACTCTGAACTTTGTCTAAATCATTCGGATGAAGACAAAGGGTCGTCTGAGCGGGCCCATGCAGTCTGTGAAAGCGGACTGGAAGCAGGGAGTCATCCTGCCGCGTTGCTCTCAGCTGCCGTTGTCGGGCCGTCGTCGGCGGATTGGAGCGCCCAGCTGGAGGCTTCAGGAGGAAAAGATGAAGTGGAGAATTTCCAAAAATTAACTAGGGTCTCTGATCCAACGATGGCTGCCCCAGGACAGCCCAGCAAGCAGGAGGAGGGTAACTTCAACGCTTCAGGAAGTGAGGTCGACGGAAAGCTTGGCTCCACCCTCCCAGCAAACTTCTCCAGCGCTAGCATCCAGATTATCCCTAAAGTAGAGGCAGAATCCCTGAACTTGGAAATCATGGTGAAGCGCTCCGCTGCCCCACCCACCAATCCCTGGCTTAGCTTGCCAGTGGATGATTTGGAAAATTCATACACAGTCACCATTACCCCAAAGCCCACTCCCCAGAAGAAGTTGAGCCCTGAGTGCAGTGGAGTGGGGGCGCAGGAGGGAGGGTCTTCACAACGCTTCTCACACACAGAGGCGCTGAGCTGCATGAAGCTGCAGCACTCTTGTGAAGATGATCCTGAACTCAGCCCCATCAGTAATGTTCTGTGCAGCACCATCACTGATGGGAGAGACACGGAGGTCCCTACCCTTCTCTGGGACTCCTATGACCTGCATGAGGAAAAACCAGAAGTAGACAGGTAATGTTCTGGACCATGTGGACATGCAACCACCTCAGCTTTGATGTACAGCAGTACTTTTTTATAATAGCTGAATTTGAACAAAATTCCTTTTCAATGTTTCCCCCAAAAACCGGCTAAGCCCGGTGGTTGGGCACTAAGGCAGTCATTCATCCAGTGACCCGTCATGTTTTTGAGTAAAAAATGTTTAAAGTTGACAGAAGAGTTGAAAATTAATACCTGAACACCAACTATAAAGTCTTAAAAAATGCAAACATCCTAAAAAGACTTAAATAAGCAATGCTTAGTCTGGTGGGGGCACAAGTAAAGCCTGGTGGCCCGCCAGGCTTATAATACACTAGGGGAAATCCTGTAATTCCATCTAGTCACATTTGCACTGTAGACATCTGAACATTTGTTGCTCCCTACAGTAAACTAAAAGATCAGCACAGGCTGTTCCTGTTGGGAGAGAGAGGTTCAAATGCAGAGGGTTACCTGGTGAGAGAGCTGCAGTCTGCTTTCAGATCAACCTTGAGAGTGTGTGTGTGTGTGTGTGTGTGTGAGAGAGAGACAGGGAGACAGACCCTGTCAGACAGACCACACACTGAACTCTATAGATCAGTATTGTTTTAATCACCTTTTCTCTTTAGACATGGATCTCAGTATGGTTGCAGAGTGGATCTGCAAAGTGATGTTTTGTTCTGTTTTCAGTATGATTGATCTGTCATTAACCGACTGGGAGGTAAAGGAGCAAGAGAATCTGAGAGAGGTGGAGAGAATATTAAACCAGGCTGGAGGGATCCTGGAGGTAAGTGATCCAGTTGCAGCTCCAGGGTGCTGAACCACCACTCTCTGCTCTGGTTGGTTCCCAGCCTCCCAGGAGCTCAGACGAGCGTCACAGGTCTCCGTTTTGTAGGAGGAGGAGAATGTTTTGGCTCAGGAAGCCGAGCTGGACGCTCTGCTGCGAGATGGAGACGGGAAGGATCTGTGGCCACAGTGGGGCAGTAACCAGCAGCTGCACCAGGTCTTAACGGAGCACTTGTTCAACTTTACTCTGAAATAAAATGCCATCATAACTGAAAAATGATATTCCAGCTATTTCTGAAATGAGCAACATGTTTTGTGTGTTTCTAACGTTTTTGGTCCATGAGAACTCGGCTCCTTGTTTCACAGTAACTGCTTCAGCTCAGAGCTGATTGGTCAGCATGCTTTTTAATGCTGCTGTAACCACACCACTAAACCATTTATATGTTCATGCAAGCTATCAGACCGTTTTTCTAACGTTGCATATTTCCAGGTCTCCACTGATCTAGTTGATGGTGGCCAGCAGCAGCTCAGTCAGACCGACTCTATGACGGACAGCGACGCCTGTTCAGATGCTGCTGATGATTTCTGCTCAGACAAACGGCTGACCAGCAGGCTGGACCTGCTGGGTGAGATGAGGCATGGCCATGTCCTGGATCCGCTGCTCAAAATCCAGGAGCTGAAGCTCAGCCAGCAGCCATCAGAGGGTGCAGCTTCCACCTCGCCACATCCACCAGGCCTTCACACAAACAGGGAAGCTTTCTGGTTACAACTGGAGAAAAGAGGAGAGGAGATTGAGAAGACCTTGGATGAAGCACCTGGTTATGAGGACATGGCTCCAGAGTCTGGGAGGTGTTGTGTATTGGACGAGTTTGGAGAGGACTCTGAGACTGGATGCAACACTGCAGACGGTGCTGTTGGAGAGAACCCACCGCTGTCTGAGGGTCTTAACGTTGGTGACACTAGTAGAGTTTCTAGTTTCTGTGATTTGAAGGAATCTTCTGTGGATGTCCAACCTTCGATTGTCTGTGGGAAAGAGATGAATGAAAAGCGATTGACCTCTGAACTGATGCCACATGATGGAGAGTTTGATCCAGGAGGAAAACTCCTTCTGCTTCCTGTTTCGGAGACAGAAACTGCTTCACTTCCTTTGAATGGTCGCCCAGCTGAACATGAAAAGGCATCTGGCCCAGCTCCAGCCCAACCCACTTATCATCCTCAACTTCATTTAAAGTCTGATGCACCCAGAAGGGTGGCTACAGACTGCAGGAAGGATTTTCTCTATCCCAATGTTAAAGAACACATCAACAACAACAACAACAATAACCATGTAGTCCCTGGAAATGCAGAGGCAGTTTCTGAAGTGACTAAGGCAGAGAAAGTGGATTCCTCCACGGTGCCTGCTGGGAAAGATGAGCAGCAAGCAGACTTGCAGCCAGTCCTCCTGATGGCTCCCATTCAGCCACTGGAGTTTGACCCAGGAGGAGGAGAAGACCATCCTGATGGGGTTCTGAGCTCTGACTCAGACCATGTGACACAGAGGGTTCAGACCCAGTTTAGGGAGGATGACATTATCCAGGTACTCGACTTCATGTCTTTATGTTGGTTTTTGTATAAATTAGTTGGTTTAGTACAAGCTCCTAAAACGCATAATAGTGAGTCTGGTTTTAGTACAGAGGGTTATAAACTCTATTGAGTTTGCTGCTTACAGGTACAGATACAACATGTTGCAGCCTGCAGATACAACCCAGTGGCCCAGAAAATTAAAATATAATTTTTTTTATTTATCTTCTCCACTGTTATGAACATAAATGTTGGTGTTTTGTAAAGTGTGTTAATTTCTAAGGACTCAGTAGTTTGTTGGGGCTCCTGCTTGAGTTACTGCGTCAGTGCGCCGTGGTGTAGAGGCGGTCAGTTTTCTGCTGAGCCCAGCAGCTGCCTTCAGGTCATCTGCCTTGCTGGGCTTGGGGCCTCTCATCTTCCTCTAGGCATTCTCTTTGGGGTTAAAGGTCAAGGGTATTTGCTGACCAATCAAGAACAGGAACACTGTGGTCATTGAAGCAACATTTGGTACGTTTGGCATTGTGTTCAGGTGTCAAGTCCTGCTAGAAAGTAAAACCAACATCTCCATACAGCTGGTCAGCAGAGGGAAGTATGAAGTGCTCCAGACCAGGGCAATGCCCTGCATGGTTTAGATGCTTCCCTGCTTTAATACGCCTGATTCAGATGATTCCTGGTCACCAAACACCTGTCAATTGAAGTCGCCTGGACCAAAGCAAGGAAACACCTGAAGCATGCAGGGCAGTGTGCCTGGAGGGCCAGGGTTGGGGAAACACAACTCTAGATTCTTGTAGATGGCTGCGTTGACTCGCACTTCAGAAAACCCAGCGGACCAGAACCAGCAGATGTCACAGCGCCTGGAAACGTCACTGGACTTAAAGCAGCATGGATTCTGTGCCTCTCCACTCTTCCTCCAGACTTTGGGAGCTTAATTTCCAATTGAAATGCAAAATTAACTTTTATCTGAAAACAGGACTGGACCATTGCACACCAGTCCAGTTCCTCTTCTCCTTGCTCCAGGGAGGATGTGTGTGTGTTTGGATCAAGAGTGGATTGACTCGATGCATGTAGTGTATTTGAAGCCTGTGTGTCGGAGACGTCTGGTTGTTCAGTCTGTGAATAAGCAGCTTCTTCAGATGTGACTTTTTGTGTGAAGGGTGCAGATGGGTGCTAGAGATTTGTCCAGTCATCAGTTTTCCCATGATGATGACCTACTGACCCAGAGTGAGACTGTTTAAGGGGTCGGGAACCTTATGTATGCGTTTTGAGTTAATTAGCTGATTAGCACGAGTTCTTAATCTTGACTTTTTTCTTTTCTTATTTTTTACGAAATTTTTATTTTCTACGTACCTGTAGATACTGCAGACATGGCACAGTCTTTAAATCTGTGGCTGTTTTTAAATCATTATATTGAAACCAACATGAACCAGAGAAAAACTGATTTCTGACCTCCAGCTTTCTTTTTTTTTCTTTCTTCTCATGGTTGTAGATTACAGATTTCAATGTCCCCATCGTGCTGGATATGGGATCCGGTTTGATGAAAGCAGGATTTGCGAATCAGGACCTGCCAAACGTTACATTCCCAACAATAACTGGAGTTCCAAAATATGAGGTGAGATGGGTCAGTCCGTTTGGGGATTTTCAATTGATTAATCTTTTATAGAGATCTGGAATAATTCTGAAGTCCTCAGGCTGTTCAGAGGAGATGGATCATAACCCTAATAGTTGTAACTGGATAAGATTTAAGTTTAGACTAAAGCAGAGTGTTTGTCTGCTTTAGCAGGGCAGAATGTGGCTCAACATAAATGATATTAGAACCTGCTCCTCATCAGAACCTTCAGATTTCACTTTTCCTGTGAAATCCACAACTCCTGTGAGTTGTGATTTAAAAGCGAGGGTGAAACAGAAATGAGTTTAAGTTCCTTTGGCTGAAAATAATATTTTTGGCTTTTTAAAGAGTTTGCAAGTTTTCTTTTTACATATCACCATCTTGATCAATATTATAATCTCTGTCTACAATGATATATTTGTCTTTGCAGGAGATAATGAGTGGGGCTGTGGAGAAAGAACTCTACGTTGGTCATGATGCTCAACACATGAGGGGGGTTCTGACTTTGAATCACCCCATAAAGAATGGGATCATTTGCAACTGGGAAGAGATGGAAAAAGTAAGAAAATGTAGAAGGCTTTCCCATGATGGTGACCTACTGACTCGGAGTGAGAGACTCCGAGTACGAGTACGAATATTTCTCAGGTTATGTTTGTCTGATAGTAAGTTAGCATTTACCTCAGTTTTTCTGGGCCTGTGTGAAGCCTAATGTCGCCGTTACCTTTGGCAGCAGCTTCCTTCTGCAGAGCTCTGTGCTGTTCATTAAAGCCTGGTAGCAGGGCACTGCTGGTCAGCCCAGGGCTTTCTACTGTGTGCTCAGTTTGTCCTGATGCTATTAACCAACATTTATCAGCAGACCTGCAGATCCAGAGTAGAAATGTCTGCAGCAGTTCAGTTCCTTACCTGGACTGGTGAATGAGGATAAGCTGCTTTCTGCTGCTGAAGTCTGCTGGGAGTTTCAGAACGGCTAACATGCCTCGCTGTTCTACAGTTCAGAAAGTTTTATGGAATCCAGAATTTTTTTTCTCTGGTCGTAAAACTGAAATGATCACCGTGTTCTAGTTTGACAATATGAACAATGGCTCCTTGGTTCCTAATGGGGAAGTATTAGATTATATACATCAACAAAGCCCAACCAATGACTGGGTTTGGAAATTAGTCTGTAGCTAGAAAATCTATGTTCAAAACACTGTTTCTCTGTTTTCAACATAGAACATTGTGCAATGTGCTGTCCTGGATTAGGTACATTTCAAATGAGTTTTCTTAACACCAGGACACCCTGAAAGCTCTTGTTGTTTGGGGATCTTGTACAGCCTAGTCCTTCAGGCTTTTCCTTTCCTTTTAGATGTGGCAGTACACATTCCAGCAGCTGTGTGTGGACCCTGAGGAACATCCTGTTCTGCTGACTGAAGCAGCCATGAACCCTCTGGAGAACCGGCAACGCATGGTGGAGATCATGTTTGAGAACTTTGGTGTTCCATTGGCTTATGTGGCCATGCAGGCAGTACTTGCACTGTATGCAGCAGGGAGAACCACTGGTAGGTCCTGCAGCCAGTCCCTGCAGGTCTGCACACCTTCTTCAGACAGACTTCTTCCTACCTTTTTTTTTTTAAATTGGGGATTTTCCTAAAACCTAAATGTTTCACATTCTTCTAAGTTGTCTAGTTTTGTTGCTAATGCGTTGGGCATGACAACCCGTTTCTAGGTGTGGTGGTTGACTCTGGAGAAGGCGTGAGTCACAGTGTTCCTGTGTTTGAGGGCTACAGTTTACCTCATGCAGTCCAGCGCTTCCCTTTGGCCGGTCTGGATGTCACATTGCAGCTTAAAAAGGTTTGCAACACTTTGCTTGATGCTCTTAAATGTGTCACATTCTGTTAAATCATTTTGATGAATATGTTAAATGTCCTCTTCAGTACGAGGCCCTTTGGATCAGTCTGCTTCAGGTCTAGATTTACTTTTGTCCGGTGTTCTATTAGTTTCATGAACCAAGGTCTTCATCCTGCCTTGTGCAGCCTTCAGTCTTCTCTTTTCTGCCTAAAGCTCCTGCAGGAACAGGGCGTCTGCATGCGCACAACAGCAGAAGATGAGATTGTGAGGGAGATGAAAGAGAAGTGCTGCTGTGTCGCATTAAATTATGAAGCTGAGCTGAACCCAGGGAGTTCGTCCTGCAGAGAAATGCAGTACACAATGCCGGATGGCCAGATTGTTACCATGGGCACCGAAAGATTCAGGTAATGATGTGCCATTGACCGACATTTGGAGAGGGAAGCTTCTCAACAAGAGCTGGTAAAGAAACTGAGCAGGTCACCTGTATGGCTACCAACAATCTATAGCTGATAGTGGAACTTAAGGATCAAACGAAGGTGTGAAACCTGAGGCACCATTTTGTGGGACTTCCAGAATGAAACATCCAATTCAGCAAGTTTAGTTCACGGGGTTGGTGCTGACCTGTTTTCTTTTTGTTTTTTTTAGTAGGCAAACTGGGAACTGAAGGTTCTTGAGGAAAGTTTCAGCTTTTATCGCAATATACACAGAAGAGTTTTTCTCCTGTAAGAACAGAAGTACAGTGATGGTTCTTGATGTCTGTTCCAGGCAGAACCTTTTTGTGTGTTCAGGAATGGGAAGTCTTTATCATTCTCTCCCACTGTAGCACACCACTTTCATAAAGTTCTGCACTTGAGTTCTTGTGACGTATGACATGTCTTGTCTAGAGAGAGCTTCGTTTTCCTTGTGGATGATTTTTCATATTGTATGTTTATCAGAATCTTTGAATTGCCACTAGGAAGTTGTTTTGATATAATGATGCAAAAATAAAATATATGAATATTAAGAAAAATACACTATTTATGAATGTGCAGAGCAGCATGTGGATGAAGTGGCTGTGTTCAGCCAGTCATTTAAACATCAGTCTAATGGCGGAGGGAAAAACTGTTTTTGTGGTGGGAAGTTCTGGTCCTGATGGACCATAGTGTCCTGACTGAGGAGAGAAGGTTAACCAGGCTGTGTCCAGGGTGAGAAGGGTCAGCCACAGGTCGACCTGCATGACCAATCACCTCCTCAGCAGTGTGCACAATGCATTGTGGTCTGTCTGTCCCTGGTTGTGTCCCATATGGTGATAATGGTGGTGATGATGGACTCCATGACTGCTGCGTCAAACTGCACCATCAGCTCAGCTGGCAGTTTGAGTTTCCTCAGCTGTTGTAGGAAGAACATCCTGTGCTGGTCATGATGAGGACCTGATGATCGGCTTCTGTTGAGGTCCTGGTGATGGTGGTGCCCAGGAAAGAGAACGAGTCCACAATGGAGATGGAATGGTACAAGAGGGGATGTTGGGTCTGTGACTTTCCTAAAGTCCACAATTACCTCCACTGTCTGCTGGGTGTTGAGTTTCAGGTTGTTACAGCTTCACCAGCCAATTCATCTCAATCCTGTAGGCAGAATCATCTCCGTCCGAGATTAGGCCAATGAAGGTTGCGTCATCTGCTAATTTGATCAGTTTCACAGACGGATGGCTGGAGGTGCAGCAGATGGAGAGCAGAGGTCCTGAGGGGAACCAATGCTCATGGTCCGAGTCTCTTAAGATGTTCTGACCCAGCCAAACATACTGCCTCCTATCCGTCAGGAAGTTGGTGATTCACTCACCTGCAGATGGAGTTGGGAACGTTGAGCTGAGAGAGTTTTTGATTGGCTCCAGCAACTGGTCACCTATTCTGTAGAAAAATATCCAACAGTTTAGTCAAATCTCTTTTGAATTCTGTTCAGATAAAGTTGATGGTTTCTGACTGGTTTCACTCTGTGACAAGTGCCCAGCCTGCAACGTCAGGCTGATGTATCCATGTGTTCTTGGATTTTCCTAACAAGCTTAAAGAATTCCATGCAGAGCAATGTGAAGATTGAACCAATTTCTCTGTTCATCCAGGGCACCTGAGATTCTGTTTAATCCTGATATGATTGGACGGGATCATCCTGGGATACATGAGAGCATCTTCAAGTCAATCCTCAGGTCAGACATTGACCTGCGGCGCAGCTTCCTGGGCAACATTATTCTTTCAGGTATGGATTTTCCTTTTCTTAGTTTCACTGTAAAATGAACTCTTTATCCTGCACAGGTTTTTTTTTTTTCATAATTTCATAAACATTTCTGTAAATCTGACCAGTTTTGGGCGTGATTGCAGGTGGGAATACTCTGCTGCCAGGCTTGCCTGAGCGCCTCCAGGCTGAGGTGAAGAGCCTGGTGCCGGCAGACATGAGGGTGAACGTCTGTGTCACCAGCCCCAAAGACAGACGCTTCCTGGTGTGGAGTGGTGGTGCGGTTCTGGCCAACCTGTCTACCTTCAACTCTGCATGGATCAGCCGGGGAGAGTATGAGGAATACGGGCCACAGATTGTCTTCAGAAAGTGTTTCTGAGATGAACTGAATATTGCACTTCATAAATGACTTTTAGATGAAATAGAAAATGAACTTACTGTGAGCTGTTAGGAGTCATTTTAAGTATATATTTTTTTAATGTATGTCATTTTGACTTTGGCCATCATTGTGAATTCTGAGCTATAAGTCTATACTTAATGCCAGCCTCTGTGTGCGTGTGTAGTGTTTTGTTTAGAGCTGCTGTGTGTTTTAAACTTAATTTACCATGATGGCCATAAGTAAAATAGTTTTTTTAAATGTCTTATATTTTTCTGTTGTGTCCCAAGAACGTAGTTTACTGTCTGTGGTTGAGGAAGAGGAACTGAAGCTGGCCACTGACTCTGGCAAGGCTCTCATTAATGAGGAAAACCTCAAGATTCCGACTCCTAACAGTTTTATTAAAACGATCAAAGCCGAATTATTTTGTGTGTAAGATTGGGGGAAGATTGCAGAGCTGCCTTTTGCTTTAGCTTGCAGTCTAGAAATGTACCAGCTGTCCACTGCAAATGTGTTGAAATGCTGTAGAATGTGCACTGATGCTCATCCCACATGTTCCAGATGAAAACGGTAGATCCCAGTGAGTGACGTGTTGTAAGCTGGAGAAATGAAGTGGAGCTGACTCGATTACAGCTGGTTTGTAATGAGGGGCAGGTGTCTGAGTGGTTACACTGTACAAAATGCTGCGGGATGGTTAGTTATCCAAACCCAAAAGTGTTTCTCTTCTTTAGTTTAAGCTCTGTCTAGATAACTAAATACTTTCATGTGTTTTTTTTTTTTTGGGGTGCAGTGAGGTTTTGGATTTGTTCTTATGACATTATTTTGCATGAGTTTCTGCATGTTTGAATGTTTATGTAAACTGTTTTCAGAGGTTTGGCTTTTCTATGTTGCCTACTGTTCCAGCAGTGGTACGCAGTCACACTGTGATCCGTTTTAAAGGAACCTGTGAAACTGTTTATTTTTTATGGCTACTTGACAACTGATGTCTGTAGTGCAGCGAACTGAACTAAGTTGAGCAATTTGTCACCCCAGTCCTGTTTGTCTCTTTTTTTAAAAATAAATACTTTATTCATATTCTTTGTTTGACCCCTTTTATTATGACTAGATTAATATACAAGTAAGCAAATCCTTAATTTAAATATTAAAGTACATTCATGTTTTATGGAGTTCAGTATTGTAAAAGATTTGTAAAGAAAAATCAAGGCCCTTTTTGTCTTACCATCTCTCTTTCCATTTTCTCTCTTGGCCCTTCTTCCCTGACCATCCTCTTCATGAGACTGTCTTAAGAAAAGTGTCCTTAGTCAGAGGCTTTTTCAGATTTGCTGTAATTCAGTCTGCTACAAAAGACCTCTCCTGCCATCACCATCTTCTCTTTAAAGAATCTGAATTAATGAGCTGCAACATTAAATTTCCCTTTGGGATTAATTTTGTAATTTTAATTCATGATGTGGGATGTCAGGACAACAGGTCTATAGTCACTGAGGACTCGTGGGTAAATTTTCTTTGGTCCTGGAACCAGGCAAGATATTCCCCACAGCAGGAGAACTTTGTCTTGGATCAAGCTGAGGTTGAAGAGATGTTGCAGAATCCCACAGAGCTGCTCAGGCCTTCAGGACTCTGGGGCTGACACTATCTGGACCTGCAGCCTTGTTCCAGCTCAGTCTCTCCAGATGCCTCTTCACTTGACATTTAGATACTGAAAAGTGGGAGGGGGAGACAAAGAGAACAGCAACATTCCCTAGTTTGGTTGAAGACAAACTTATGGAAGCAGAAGAGTCCATGACTGAGATGGAAGATAGAAGATCAGAGGTTTGACAGGAAGCCTCTGGATTGGACTTCTGTTGTCTGGGGACAGGAGAGGAGGATGATGATAGATTTGCTCCTGAATTGAAGATTTCCATCTTATCCTCCTTTTGCTTGATGCTTGTGATCTTCTTCATCCCTGATCACACATCTCTGATAGTTTTTCCCTTTGCAGTTTTTCTCCAGCTTCTTCCTGTACAACTCCATGACTTTGAGCTGTTTCTGTATACTCCTCAATAACCCCCTGGGTTTGCTGAAGTCCACAGTCAGAACAGACTTCTAGCAGGACATTTCAGACCACTTCACTTTCCTTATGCTGGCAGGTTGTATAATTAAAATTTAGAATGTTTTGTGACCTTCGATTAAAACATGAAAATTAAAACACTTTTTATTTCTATATTGCACATGGTTTTCATTGCCTGTTTGACTTTTAAATAATTAGAATAAAGATATTCTTTATTATTCCTCAAAAGAACATGCAGGATGAGCAAAGTGGCAGGCAAGTGGAAAAATGATCAAATGATGATCTAAACTATCTTTTGTAATATTGTCTATAAATACCTAGACTTTTGCCAATATGTTTTTTGACACGGTCTTCAACATTACCAAAACAAAGTCTGGTTTTGTAAAATGCTGTTCCATGTTTTCATGCGCCTTTGCTCAACAGCGAGAACAGAGCGGCAGCGTCCTCTAGTGGACAACTATTTGATTGTTACCATAGCAGCCGGTTCTAAACACTGTAGTATCCGCTTTTTACAGGAGCAGAAATGTTTCGGGCTCGGACAGAAAGAGTGATTAAAACCATCATTTGTGAAATAGTGGAGGAGTGTGTGAATAGGGGACACTCCGTTTCTGAAACTCTGGTGGGATTCATGGTGAGTAACCCAGACCCCCCAGCTGACTGGCAGATCACTCAGCTCAACGGTTGCAAGTCTTTATGGAGACCATCACAGAACATTTTATTTCATAAAATATGTGCGCTGATATCCAGAATGTACTTGTAATGTTTTCTGTTCAGGTGAAAGCTGTGGTGTTGAATCCAACAAACGGTTTTGATGTAGATCACACGCTCTCAGAAGAAGACGTCCAAAGGCTCAAACAGGTACCAGGCTCCAAACATCACAACATGTTGTTTTAAATGGCTAACTTTTATTAACTATTCTTCACGTGCATCTAAATAAAATGGCTTATTTGCATTTTAGAAGCCCGGTAAGGGATACAATCTGCTTAAAATCTTTAAAACCCACAGAGTTTGCATGGCAACAGATTTTTTGGCACAAACTGGTTAATACAGATTTCCAAATAGCATAACTTGCCAGTTAATGTCTTCCAGGACAGGTTGAGTTTACAGTCTGGATCTGTTCAAACAGTTTGCATTTGTCCAGCTTTAACTGGAGCTTCTCAACAATCTGTTGTTCTGTCATCTGGGAGGTTTCTAAAGAATTTAATCAGCTTCTTTCAAAATGAAGTATACATTCTTCAGAACCACAGAAGACAACATGTAGATGTAGTGATTAGTTTGGACTGTTGTCAGTGAGTCACAACACACTGGTGCTGCAATCTGTTCATCCACAGCAGGTGAAGGTTTTTTTGTAGATAAAATAAAGTTTTATCTGCAGTTCTGTCATGGCTTAAATCAACAAAACCTGGTCTAGTTAGGTAGGAGAGAAACTTATGGTATGATATAGAGACCAGTGTAAAGGAGCTCTGTTCGCCCACTGACTGCTGTTGGACAGATGTCCTGTCTCTAGATTATCTGTCATGGTGCACTTCGGTCACAGTTCAACAAATTTCAGCTTTAGAGTGAGTGAGTGCTGCAGCTCAAACTCCAAGCTGGGTGGAAATAAGAGGAACAGACGCTTTCTGAGGTGTATGCAGAAATGCTATTTGCACCTGGCAGGGTTTTCAAGGGTGTCATGCTAGAATGGGTGCCAAAACAATGGTGGAATAATTATTTCTAGACACCCTTATGTGTCACATGGAGTGCATACCCACCTTTTGCTCTACTGGCTGTGCTCAGTGCAAAGCAAAATCGTCATTGCCCAGAGCATGAGACAATGACATGAATTTCAGAGCACAGTGGAGCGAGTGACATTTTTATTCTGAAAATCCCTCACAGGATTTTTTAAATGTGAAGATGTGAAGCAGCCATGCCTCCTGATGAATTGTTTCTGGTTGCAGCTGTGCTTAGATAAGCTGACAGAGGAGTCCAGCCCAGGTCTTGATACCATCAAAATGCAACTTTATTTTGAAATGAATTATGCCTTGCGACGTAAGTAATAAACTTTAAATCTGTTTTATATGTTCCATTGACTACTCTAGGATTTTTTCATGGGGGATAATTTTATCTTTTTATCTTTGAATGTAGTAAAAATGTTTTGATTATAACTTTGATATTGTTCATAGAATGATAGTGAGCCTATTTGTTTTAAGAAGAACAAATAACACTGACTGGTGTCCAGGGTTACATTAAAATGAGAAACAATGGCTGTCTTTCAGTGACTCAAAGTATTTTACTGAATGTACTGTAAATGTCTTTGCTTTGTACCAAACCTGCATTTGCCTTTGCTTGTACATTTTACCATCCAGTAAAATGTATACTGGATGGTTCAATAGTTTACCAGCTATTGAACTTTTTTTTAAGTGCCTTGAGACACATGCTATATAAATGGCACTATGTAAATAATTCAAATAATCACTTTATTTAAAAAAAAAAAGAGTAATAGATAACTTTTTATGCAGGTGAGTTTCTGGCGGAGATCCATCGAATACTGGAGTTCAAACTCAGTGGAGTGCGTCGGGAGATTACAGACAATAGAGCAAAATCCAGGGATGATTTCCACACTCTGTACCATCAGATAATTACCTACATCCTGCTGAGATCTGCAATAGGTTCGCCTGCAAATTTCAACTGTGTACAAGACACTAACGGTAAGTCACGTTTGAACTGCAGCATCAAGCAGCATGCTTGTAGCATGCCGCTCCAAACAAGTGATGTTTTTATGAGATTTGATTTCTTCAAAAGCTGTCCCATTCATTGTAGCATTGAAATCCACGTCACACCAGGCGCTGAAACACATAACCCATTTTTTACAGTGTTTCCATTTATATGCTATGTTATGTTTATGCCAAATATTAACAGACAAAATACAGATTAAATGTAAAATGCATTTTATAATCAACACACTTTTTTACTCTCCAGAGGGGCTGCCAGTATGAAACAGTATTTCTTGTTGCTCTGTAAAAAAAAACAAGCTAACTGCTGTATTTGGGAGAAAACTAACTAACTTTTATGCAGCAGCAATATCAAAAATAAAAGTATACAGCTCAAACCAGAAGTCAAATACTTCACAACATAAACATCAAAATTACTGATAAAACATTAATGTTTACTGTAATAAAAAACACTTATGGTTGTTCTTATGATTTTGGTTACTGCTTCAACAAATGGAAGAAATGATGCTGCTGAATGATGAGTAAATGATACTCCAATGTTTCATGTCTGCAAATTGCAAAAGTCTCCTCTTGGAGATTTGGTACCAACTTCACAGTGTGAGTTAAAATACACATTTTATAAATTAATATGTTATTTACAAAATTTTTGATTCCCCTGGTCAGTCAAAAAAAAAAAAAAAAAGCAAGAGAAAAACAGTAACATCAACGCCGAGGAACCCAGCAGGCAGGTCTGGAGAGGTTGAAGGCAGAGCTCTGCTCAATCCATCATCTTTTATTGGTGGATTGATGGATTATGGTACAACTGCAAAGGACACAATCCATCTGGTTTCAGACATCACCAGTATGAAGTGGAGGTGGTTGAGGAATATAAATACTTCAGGGTTCATCTGGACAATAGACTGGACTGGAGACACAACAGTGAAGCAAGAAGGGACAGAGCAGACTGGACTTCTTCAGGAAATTAAAATCCTTCAAGGTTTGCAGCAGATGGAGCAGATCTTCTATCAGTCTGTTGTTGGGAGCGTCATCTCACGTAACTTTTATTTAAAAAGAAAAAAAAGTTTTTTTACATATTTGTTACAACTCTTCCTATGATGTGATGGTGCAGTATGATACAGAGAAAACTGAACTAGAGTCAGAATGTTCGTTGGCTATTGCCATATTTCATCACCTTAATCCATGTGGCTGTGGAATGTGTCAGTTACTGTCGAGGGCATGTTGTAGTGATGATGATGATGATGATGATGATGATGATCATTTCTGGCTCTCTTCTTCTTCTCTTCCAGCTGCGCTGCAGAGTGTCTTACCCCTGAATGATCTGGGAGCGTTCCTGGTTCTGTTGAAGAAAGACAAGGAGCAGCAGCTGAAGGAGCTCACCATGATTGTAACAGGAATCCGAATCTTCAACGAAGCCAGCAAACAAAAAGAGGAACTTTTAAGCCTCCACAAATTAAGTACATCTTTCAAAAGTTAATCTTTGATGAGTTATTTTTAAGTAAAGAATTAAAACACATAAGCACAAAGCTTAAAAATAGCTGACATAAAAAATATAATTAATACACATATGTCATTTCTTTGCACTTCAGATAAAACTTAATTAAGTAATCAACTATTACTTAATGCGACCCTAATCACATTTAAAAGTAAAATAAATTAAAAGAAAAACTGCCTAAAATTGATAAGTATTGTTTGTACACCAAGTATATTTCAACTAAATATATTTGGTATAAAATTCAAATAATTTGTGTGTTTAGTTCTTCAGTGTGTAATGTCTGCTGCTTGGTGCAGTATTTTGATTTGCTGTATTTGGAGGGAATATTCTGAATGACAAAACCTGCATATTTCTGACTGCAATAAAAGTGAACAACAGGATGTAGTGAAGCCAGTTTGCTGCTTGTTCAGTTTCAGCAAAGGAGTCATGACCAACCATCCCAACAAAGAAGCTGAGATGACATTCTCATGCTCAGATCCTCATAAATCAGTCCTTCACTCATATTTTATTAGCTTATTTAACAGAGTCAGATTTCTTAATTACTTTTTTTTTTTTTTTTTTTTTTTTCTTTTTTGTGTTGGGATTTTTGTTTTCAAAGAAACCACCTGTAAAAAAAAAAAATAA